TTCCTCATCGGATCTGGCCCAGGTTTCGTCCTGTTTAAGTATAGGAGAAGCGTGTTGTTTTGGACGCTTTAATTTTTTGGTGGCCTTCCAGAGAGAATAATCTGTAGGCTTTCCGGGCGCGAGATTTTTGAGGTATGATTGTATACATTTATTTTTATACTTATCAAGTGTTTTTTTTAACTCTCGAGTTGCTTGGTTTAGGGCTGTCTTTGCTGATTGAGTTCTCGTCAGCTGCCAGTTCCGTCTTAATTTTCTTTTTTCTAGTATAATTTTAATGATATAACTAGGAACAGAGTAAGAGTTTGAGTGTGGGCTGATAGGTGGCGTGGCGTTTTTGATTGCAGTTAAAATATGTGCGTTTAGGTTGAGAACTGCATTATCTATATCAGTGTTAGTTTTGAGAGGGATATTGCAATTGATTGAGCTATTTAAATGTTCCCTGTCGGTTGACCAGTCCGTGAGTTTGTTGAAAATAGGTGTTTTGTGCTGGTTGTGTAGTAACTGAGACGAGATGTAAATTAGCACTGGAGAGTGGTCTGATGAGAGGTCAAGGCAACTTTTCGCCTTGAAGTCGTTGTGACTTAAGCCCGAAATAACAGCAAAATCAATAAGATCTGGAGTTTCATTCCTATCAGTGGGCCAATAGGTAGGTTCACCTGTGGATATCGTGGAGTATTTTCTATCAGTGATGACAGAGTAGAGGGTGCGACCTTTAGGATTAGGCACCTGAAGTCTAGAACCCCACCAAGGGTGCTTGGCGTTGAAATCCCCTCCGGCCACAAAACGAGCTCCTAGGCGGTCAAAGTATGTACAGTACATTTCGTGCGAGATGCTGTGCTTAGGTGGACAATACACTGCTGAGAAAGAAATTTTGCCGCGCACTTCTTTAGCCGGGCCCATGGTCGTAGCCTGTAGATAGTCTTCACAGAACTTGCTGTCCTGGTAGTGTTTAATACTAGATTTTATCAGAATAGCTGAACCGCCATGGGCCTTGTTGTCCGGATGATTCAGCAGTAGAAACTGTAATTAGACAGTGAGAGAAAATTTTTTGAAGTAAAGTGTGTCTCTGACAGGAGGATGATATCAATATCATTGATAATTAGAAAGGCCTGGAGTTCAGAGACTTTCTGTTTTTGCGTTAATCCATTACAGTTCCAAAGGGCAATTTTAAGCTCCATTTTTGTTGTTCGAGGTGTTATTGACATTGCCTAGCAAGGCTGTTATTAGATTTAAAAGTGTGTCAATGCGCGTCATCATTTGACACATTAGATCTTCTAGTTTATCTACACGAGAAGAGATGTTTTCATTAGAGTTTGCCTTATTATTTACCAACATATTGCTTGAGGTAGCCTGTGCAAACGTAAGATCTTGTCTGACATAATTATTTGAGGGGACTGCCGTATGAGCGTGAGTCCCGTAAGAGTTGAAGTTTCCCATTAGATAATGCTTCTGCCTAAGAGTTGGAAACAGTTTTTGTTGAAGTTTTTTGCGCACGGGACAGCCTTTATAGCTTGCGGGGTGATTTCCCTGGCAATTGGCACACAATACTTCCTTATTCTCTGTCTTGAAGGTACAGTCCTTAGTTTTGTGGTTTCAAAGGTCTTTGAAATTCTTAAGAAAAAAGTAAAAACGCGTTAAATTTGGGCCTTTGAAAATAGGTGATCGCAGGTCTCGAAAATTCTGAAAAAATTCAAATGTATTCTTTGATTAATTCTAAGACTTGTACATTGTGTAATTTTCCGTTTAATATGTCCCATTACGAGTTAGAAAATAACAAAGATTTTTCAATAAACTAGAAAATGATTTTTAAAATGGGCCCTAAGGCCTATTGGATCAAACTAAGCATAGGGGGCTTTATTATTAGATACCAGGAGACCAGAAAAAAATTTTCAGGACATTTGGTAACCCGCATCTCATGTGGTCTCCTTGTAAGTAACTATATAAACTTTACACGAAATGACTATTGAATTCAATTAAGGTGGCTAGTCAGTAAAATGAGTCAACAACAGATGTTTATGAAACTTTGCAGAAATGTCATTTAAAGTGCCCTTGATATGCTGTAGAAATTTCAGCAAGGGTTATCGAACTAATTTTCGAGAACGATGCTGTTTAAAATAGCAAAATTAACGTGGGCTCTTTTGGGAGGCCACCATAATTTCATACATTTTACGTCATAACTTTTTTATCAAACAACAGATCTTAACCAAAAACGAGTATGTTATGCTTCAAGTCCTTACCTATCGATTGGTATGTTAAAAAGTACCTCTTATCGAACTAACTAATTAGTAACTAAACAAAATGTGAGTAGATTATAATCGATAATATATATATAGTAGATAATAGTAGATAATTATCGGTCGTTGATTTTCAAGTAGTTGGCAACACTGTAACCGCCGCTTGGCGCTACTCGCACGCGTATTCAAAAGTAACTGTATATGTTTTTAAAAACTTGTCAAAATGTAAACTCTGTATAGGTTAGTTCAGCAAATGCGACGACGGTCGACTGTCGTTTTCGCCAACACCGCGCCACCTCACGGCGCAGTCGCAAACTACGAAATGTGCCAACTGCATAACACGAAAAAGTGAAAGTAGTCGCTTCAGTTACTATTTTTATGATTACTGACTAGCTACCTTAAAAGACCTTTAAGAACACACACATACATACGTGTACAGCTCTCGTTGGCCTAGTGGGCAGTGAGCCTGTACTGACTGATAACCAAGAGGGTGCGGGTTTGATCTCCACTGTGAAAAATATCATTAGTGATTTTTTGCTCAGTGAGGTCGTACGCGTACCCGAAGTGGTTCGGTTTTCTACGTTAAAAATAGCACCGCAGATGAGAAATCAGTTTTCCTAACCTTAGGACCACTCACAAGATGGAGCAGCATGGTGAACACGAGATACTGCACTGCAGAAGACGTAGGTTTCTAAACCATAAAACATGGTACACAATTATGTGGTGGTAAATAGGAAAACATCGAATAGTAGAAATGCTCTACCACACTATCTTTGAAGTAATGTTCAAAATGGACGGATCCCGATACGTGTCCAAATAAGGTAAAGGAATAAAAATACACCATAGTCTTGATTAACCGATTAAATTAGAGCGGTCGTTGGCTTAGTGGTTAACGTGCTAGCCACAGAGACAAAGGCCGCTCGAGGAGCCTTGGGTTCAAATCCTGGTGAGGACAATCGGATCTTTCCATTCGGCAGGATGAGAACCCATGTGCTCCGCCTGTCTCGGGGCGGATTTTTTCCTGGAGGAGGAGGAGGAGGAGAAGGGTGTTGTGCATATGCACTACGTATACCCCCTGGTTTCCCTTGCTCCACAGGTCTTCGGGCTCATGCAAATGCGAGACAGTAGCGAGGAGGGTAGTAGAAATCTCTTCCTGCACACGGGCTCTAGGCCTTCTGAAGGCCCTTCTAAGAAGAAGGAGTCTAATAAGAGAGAGAGAAAAAAAATTAAAGGGTCAAGTGGATGAGTCAAACCTCTAAGATAATGAGTATTGCTTATACTGCACGCTCAGTATGGCACTGAGCAGTGACAAAAAAAAATTCCTGAATTTTGTACTGCGATTATATTCATTACAATTGGAAAACTCGAAAAAGTGAAAGTACAGTCAAACCCCTTTATCCGCAGGGGTTCGGTTCCAAAAAAGTACCGCGTATACCGAAAACACGGATACCGAAGCATTGTTCTCATGGGAAAAGGGGGGTGTTCGGTTCTTTGTCCAGCTGAAATATCAATGTACGAAAGAGTAAAACAACTTTTGAAAAATGAAAGTATTTATTCATTTTCTAGTATAATAACACTGCAATGATTTTGTTATATCTTGCTTGAATTGAAGACTGTGAGTCATCATTGGATCATGATTTATGGCTCATTCAATGAGTTCTGATCGAAGACTCGTTGACGTCGAATCTTCTTGCGAGGGTAGCAACTTTTTCACCAGTTTTGAAACCGGTTTTTTGACGTTCGTTGAGTCATACTCAGAAAAAAATTAATAAAAAAATTTTTTAATTTTATGCGCACAAAAACAAAAAACTGCGGATACTGAAGTTGGGTCACAAACGAGGGTACCGCGGATACGAAAAATCGCGGAAAACGGGGTTTGCCTGTATTAATAATTGTAACTTGTTTTACTCAAGAGGACAAGACAGTGTTTCGAGCTGATATTTTAAAATGGCTATATAAATCGAAATAGTTGACATTTTTTTTCTTGGTTGTAAAATATGTTCATACTACCCCTGATTGACAAAAAAAAACTCCAACGCATCTCTAAAATCCTAATCACATTACTATTTTTATAATACTAAATATTGTGATTGGATTCACTGACCACGTGATTTCGACGTGAGTTCTTCATCAATACTGATCTATGGGGTCTCATAATCTTCAGAAAAGAACCCTCATCCACCTACGTGGAGCATGATTTTGAAAAATGGTGTACAGCTTACACGTCAAAATACGACAAATTTTAAGAAAATCAATATTTTATCAACTCTAAATGTCATCTTTAAGCTCTTAGAAGAGTAGTAAAATTTGTTAGTAAAATTTTTTTATCATCCTTGAGATAATTTAATCAAGATCTTATAGATGATTTGTTAGAAATGAAATAACTTGTTCGTTCAGATAACATTCATTTGTTAGTACTATGATAATGAATTAAGATTGTAAAATCTTTATCATTATTATGTACATTACTATTAAGAAGATATTGTTTTCTAAATAATATTATTATTTATCATGATAGCGAGAAAATGGAAATGATTCTTAAGGTTTGAATCGAATTGTATAAATCCTACTTCTAAAGGCAAACTTATAACTTCTATAACAAGTTATTTGTATTGTATTAATTTAAAAATGCACGATAACAATGGAAGAAAATTGACAGAAAATAACTTCTGAAATATCGATTTTTCATTTCTAAATTAGTTGTATACGAAGAGGAAAATGTATTAGTACTAACATATTATGATAATTATAAATTTTATTTTTTAGGGTGGAAAAATACCAGTCCGCTGGACAGCTCCAGAAGCGATAGCTTTCCGGAAGTTTACGAGCGCTTCTGACGTATGGAGCATGGGAATTGTTTGCTGGGAAGTCATGTCTTATGGTGAACGGCCTTATTGGAACTGGTCTAATCAAGATGTTATTAAATCAATCGAAAAAGGATATAGATTACCGGCACCAATGGATTGTCCAGAAGCTATTTATCAATTGATGCTTGATTGTTGGCAAAAGGAAAGAACTCATAGGCCATCTTTTTCAAACCTTGCGCAAACTCTTGATAAATTAATCAGAAATCCTGATTCTTTGAGAAAAATTGCACAAAACAGGTAATTAATATACACAATTTTGTTACATTTTTTAAATGCAAGTTATATTACGTTTTGTTGTTGAAGTGATGATCTTCAATCCAAAAATCTTTACTATTTGTAAAACATCGAGTATCTTAAGGGGACAAATTGGTGTTTTGATCTGAAATTTAAAAAAAGCCATTAAAATTAAAACAGTAGAAACTTTCTTTTTATTACATCTTTTCAGAATTTTTAGAGTTATTTTTTGAATTTTCGAAAAAATGCCGATATCACAAAATCTAAAAAATTTTTATCGATCTAGTTTAAGCCCTTTATTGTTTAAAATTAAGTTTTCGTAAAATTGATCGTCATCGAGTCAAGAATTGTCAAAATTATTTTATTACTTTGTGGTATTCAAGAGTCATATTGATGCTCGCCATGTGTAATTCTGTAATATTAACTACTTTAAAATAAATTATTCATACGATTTACCGAATATGTATTCGATAGACATTATAGCGAACCGTTTCACCATTTTTACTGTTAAGTGGGACCGTTGAGCGGTCACAATCCGCCGACGCAGCGATCCCGCGTTGCTCAACGCCTTACGAGCATTCGTTGCCGAGCCGCGCCTCATCTTATCTGCTTTGCGTGGCAGGTATCACAAGCGGTTTGAATTATGCTGATCTGGCGATCTTCGGTCGCCGAACTGCTTGAAGTCGTTCGTCGCAAAGCGCGTTTTTACGCAGACACCCGTTGATCCCAGGTGAAAATAGTATGTCAGATCTGACTCCAGATCTGGCATCAGATCTGACTCCAGATCTGGCATCAGATCTGGTATAAGATCTGATAAATGTACGCCAGATCTGATACCAGATCTTGTATTCGATAATCGACATCAGAACTTATATCAGATCTGACATCAGATCTGATGTCAGATCTGAAGTGACTGTATTGCCTTTAATTAATTAAACAATAACTTTATTAATAATTAAAACTTTATAACAAATTTAGTTATATTTTAATAATCACATCGATAATACCTTTAAGAAAAATTCCTACAATATTTAGGTTTCTGACAATGTGAATTTAAATTGATTCAACAACTTTTATTATTAAGATTTATTATAAAATTTTAATTATTAATAAACTTATTGTTTAAATAATTGATGGCATTACAGTCACTTCAGATCTGACATTAGATCTGATGTCAGATCTGATATAAGTTCTGATGTCGATTATCGAATACAAGATCTGGTATCAGATCTGATGTCAGATCTGGTGTATATTTGTCAGATCTTATACCAGATCTGATGCCAGATCTGGAGTCAGATCTTACATACTATTTTCACCTGGGATGCATTTAGTAGGTGAATTATTCCGTAAAATTAGTCACGATTTGTTCTATTTGCTCACAAACCTTTCACTATTTAATTCACAATTTCATCATTGATTTCTCCTTTGCCTCTACTCAATTAACTACCGAAGTAACATTATACATGAGTTAAATAAGTTTCATGTTTTCTTTTGAAAAATCGGAACATCTTGGAAAATAAGGACCAGTCTAATGTACCGCATAGCGAATGGCAGCCAAAAGTGTACATTACTTTAATTTTCTTCAATCTGTTCTTTGGAATTGCACAAAAAACTAGACTTGAGTTTAATATCATATAAAATAGAATTTTTATTAATTTTAAATCGATTTACCGAACCGTTTCCAAGATAATTTCATTTAATGTGAACAAGTTTTTATTTACCTTACAGCCGAACTACTGTATACCTAAAGTTACTGATTGTGCTAGTGAGTGTGCCCATATACAGCGTGTGGGAGTGTGTGTACAGTCAAAGCTAAAATGCTCGCATGAAATAGTATGCGCAATCCTGTATTTGACTGTACAAGCAGACCCCCTTATATATAGGTACATCCTTATAGTATATTTTGTAACAAGCGTGTAAAGCATTTCACTGATCCAGGAGTATTTTTCACCCGAGCGCAGCGAAGGTGCAAAGACTCCTGGGTGAGTCAACTTCCTCGCGGACTAGTTGCAAACGATATTTTTTAACCCTGCTTGCAAGAAACTAGGGGTTTCTGACGATTTAACGTTAGAAAACCCGTGTTTCGCGGACGCAGTGTTAAAAAATCTATTTCAGGTTTATTTATTTTATCGTTCAAAAGACTGAATTTTTTGACTATTAGCTTAAGGGGACGCACCTAAGTTTATGCCTATAAATGCAAAAACATGAAAATTAAGGATTAATATTAAAATTTTTTGTTTCTGATGTTAAAATATGTTTTTACAGGTCCTTTTACAACAAAAAATATGTCTGTAGTTCCTTTTATTATTAAAATTCATCCAGGATTCATATATTTTGAATTGTATTTTTTAAGTCCTTGACCGCATGATTTTGAGAACAACAATTATTCAATTGGATCCCTTTAGGTCTCAAAAGTTTTGTAATTAAATTCTTTTCCACTTAAGTGTAGCAGAATTTCAAGAAAAGGCTTGGAAATTTTTATTCATATAAAAGTACAGAGAAAATGACAAAAATAGCTATTTTAATAACGCTTATTGCTATATTTGGAGATGAGTAGATTAAAAAAATAACTAAATAAAAAATCTGCTATACTCTTAAGTGGAAAAGAATTTAATTACAAAACTTTTGAGACCTAAAGGGATTCAATTGAATAATTGTTTTTCTCAAAATCATGCGGTCAAGGACTTAATAAATACAATTCAAAATATATGAATCCTGGATGAATTTTAATAGTAAAAGGAACTACAGACATATTTTTTGTTGTAAAAGGACCTGTAAAAACATATTTTAACATAAAAAACCAAAAATTTTAATATTAATCCTTAATTTTCATGTTATTGCATTTATAGACATAAACACAGGTGTGTCCCCTTAACACTTTTGTTATATAATTAAACAGAACGTGATAAAACTTTATCTTAACCAAATATTCAAAACACCTTATGTTCGTAACATATTCTCATTCATCTGGTGTTTTATAATTGTTTTAGACCAAGAATCATGAATACAATTTTGTAATGTTCCACGATTACCATTTCCATTTTTATCATTTTTATAACTATTAAAATGTTTACAGGACTGTTAATCCTCTATCAACTGATGCTGTAGATTTAACGCAGATGCAATCAGTTTCTGAATGGCTTGAATCTTTAAAAATGACTCGTTATGCCGATAGTTTTGAACAAGCAGGAATAATGAGTTTAGAATCAGTGGCAAGAATAAGTGTACAAGAATTAACAGCGCTTGGAATTACACTTGTCGGGCATCAAAAAAAAATTATGAATAGCATTACAGCATTGAGAACTCAATTTGCAGCAAATACACAAGGATTTTTAGTTTGATAGTATTAAAACAGAAATGTTTCGAACTTTATTTAATTTTAGCATTTACTTAATCATTCCTGAAAATACTCTTCAATATCATTATTAGTTGACTATCAACCTAGTTGTGAGAAATATTAAAAATATCAATGTATTTTTATCCTTACCAAATAATTATTTTCATAAGTTAAATTACTCATATATAGAAGACAATGAAAATTGAAAAATCAATTTAAGCTAAATTTTTATAGTGTGCCATTATTAAAAGTTAATATTACTTCATGCAACGGATGAGTATGTGATTTTTTTGCAAAACAAGAAGTTATAGCACGAGTCAAAGGCGAATGTTGTTACGAGTTTTGCAAGAAAAAACGTATCGAATCAAGTTACATATAATATTTTATAGCACAAGATCTTAAAAGTGGCGATAAAGTTGCGATTATTAGGTCAGAGTGCTATAAAAAACATTGATATTCAATCATTTTATTTTAAAATACTTCATAGTTCAAACAATACATTTCATTATGAACTACAGACTATGAACTTTGTTAGAGTGGAAATTAAAAGTTGTTCAATGTTTAAAATACTTGGAATGAAAAAGACTGCCATTAATTTATTTACGCATCATAAAGATAACAATACTTGCATGATAATAATACAATCGGATTGTCTAGATTTTTTATACGTGGCTATATGTTTGTAAAATTACAATAGAATATATTAAGAATTTAAAACTTGACAAAAATATAAGCGCAAAGTGAATTATAAATTATCAATAAAATGTTTAATCATTTTTTCTGCTGATATGAATTTTTAATTGATCTAATCATTGTTTTCGTTACTTCATTAACAAGATTTGAATTATATAACTATTATGAAACTACTACATAATTGAATTTAATACAAATCTGCAAATTCGCATATAGAAGGTGGCGCACGTAATGTATCTGAGCACTAGCTCATTGGAATGAGCTGCACCACGGAGACCGTATGGCTACTTGTTCGTAGTATTGTAGGCTAAGACGGCCAGTGAGCGAAGAGTAACTCATTCAAATAAAATATATAATAGAGTTTATTGAATGATCATGTGAATTAAGGGGAAATCCCAGTGTCAAATTCTGTAAATTAAAAATCATGAGAATTTGATGTTAATTTACACATTTTTCATTTTCAGTGTAAAAATATGTTTTAACAAGTCATTGCACATCAGAAAATGCGATTTTGATACCTCTGATTACTTAAATTACTCAAGGACCTATTTGCAATAAACTATGCTTCCAAAGTACTCCGACGTTGGATTTTGACTGCTATATTTTAACAACTTTATTCCCTGAAATCTTAAAAACTGTGAATTAAATTTTTGGTCAATATTCAAGCGTCGAAAGAAATAAATTGAAAAAATAATTTGGAAAAAAATAATTGGAAAAAATTAACCCTCCAAAACGCTATTATAATGCTCTCTTACACTCGAGTTAAGCCTGTTTTATAATTGAAAGACATATTTAATTACCAGTCTTGAAATAAAGCAATAAGCGTTGAAAAAAAAATTTTTTTTTTTAATTTTTTGCAGTTCAACCAGCAAAATATGTTAATAATCTTTTTTTTCTAAATTCTGCTTCACTTGAACTTGCTTCAGTTGGAAGAAAAAGTATAACAACAATTTTAAGATCTTAAGAATCAATATTAGTACAAAATTAAGTTTAAAACATGCAGAATGGGTGTCAAACTTAAAAAAATCGAGCTTTGCAGAAAACTAAAGTTTGATTGTTTCAATTTATTTCATGATATATTATACATTATATGTTTATTATATACATTATGTGTTTATTATATACATTATATATAAAGATATTTCACGATTATAAGATGGGCATTTAATACTGTTTAGAATAATCATTTTTCTGGTTTTATATCTATTCTCTCTTTATTGAGTAATATTAATTTTTTGTGCTTTCAGCGCGTGGCTAGAGTTCATATCTAAATTACAATTGAAGTAAAATGATTGAAACCATTGAAATATATTGAGTTGTACGTAAATTTCTAACGCAAATAAATGCAAGTAAAGTACATAAAATTATTCTTACCAATTCATATCTTGTCTAATAATTAAAGATCGAAGATTCTTTTTTTTTCTCGAACATAATGATTGTTGATGCATGTACACACTCTGAACTTACAAGCAGCTGAGCTGCTGCTCTATAAAAAAAAATTTTATGGTCACCCATATGTGTAATTATCAAAAAATCCATGTGATACTTGTATGAAGTTCTGCATGATTTTCTATATGAGTTTCCCGGACAAATTCTTATATGGGAAGCCATATGCACCAAAAACCATGTTCAGGTACATCAGCTCAACCAAATTTAGCTAAGTGTGAAAATTTATGCCAATCATGTGTGTAGCTGCATCTTTTGCAGATGTGTTTTCCTCCGCCGAAGTTTTTGACAGATACATTGTCACTTTGCGGTGTGCCGTTGCTGCTCGACGCCCCCTGTTGTCGACGGTAGTAACTCAAAGAACTCGCATGCTTGTTGCCGTTCGTTTGTCTTTTAACTTGCTTTTTCCAGGAATTTCGGCCTCTCTGCACAACGGATACTTCAGCATTTTCTTCAAATTTTTTGATTTGTTCTTCTACCAATTCAGCTGCTTTGACAATTTTTATTGTTTTATCCGGGTCTAGATCGCTTTCCTTCAACAAGCGATTTTTCAGCACTCTATCTGAAATGGCAGCAACTATTCTATCTCAAATCATTCGATCTTGCAGTGTTGAAAAGTTTTAATCTTGGCTCAGTTTTCGAAGCTCTGTTACATATGCATCAAATGTTTAATCATCGCGTTGATTTCGAGTGAAAAATAAATGAGAATATACACTTTCATTTTTTTAGGAACAGAGTAATCGTCGAATTTTTCTGCCACAATATCATATATCTTTTCTTCCTCTTTGATTCGAAAAAAATTATAAATATCCAGACATTGATCACCCATGCAGTGAATTAACAGGGCTACTTGTATTGTTTCAGCTAGTTTATCCGTAACCGTTGCAATTCTGTAGAGTTCGAATCGTTGCTTCCATTTCGTGTAGCCTTCCGTTGTCAATTCTGTTAACGGCTCTGGTGGTTTTAAGGCGGTAAATCACCCTGGAATTTTTTGAAAATCAAAACTTGAATTTTTTTTTTGCTTAAAAAGTCCCTTAACATCTCGAAAATATCGTGTGAAAATTTCAAATGTGGATCTACTCTCTAAGTGCCCAAATTTTGGATGTAGGGCGGGCCTCATCATCCATGCGCGCGTCGCTCAGGCGTTCACACCGCGTATTGCTGTACTGTACTATAGTGTATAGTAGTGTATAGAATAGTAAGATAATGTTAAGAAGTGCCAAAAAGAATCTACAGAATAAGGACTTCAATCTAAAAGGCCAATTGTGCGGTGCAGAAATTGCATACTAAAGATATTGTGTTTTATCTGTCCTTTCTACTACTCAAAACTTTAAATGCCTTTTTCTCAAATTCACTTTTTCAAAATAGGGTGGTAAGATTTCTCGAACAATTTTCATCCGATCGACTTGGAATTTTAACTGTCTATTCTTGACTGCTTTCTCTACAGAAGGACCTGGGGGTTTTGTAAAATATTAATTTTTTCAAGTTCTTAACAATTTTTATGTGAATTTTTAGTGTTTTTTCATATTTTTTGTTCAAAATGACGCCATTTTGTAAAAAGTCGATTAAAAAATAAAAGCCCAGGTACTTCTGTTGCTGTTCATGTACATTTTCGAAATTTTTGTGTCTCATGTTCATAACTTTAAAATTACACGTAAAACGCTACCGCCCCCTAAACACTTAAAAAAAAAGATGTCGCCGGGAAAATGCTGCCAAGCTGCCATTTTGTTTACTGTAGCCAATATAAATATTGAAAAACATTGTTCAATAAACAAGAGCTTTTCACGGAATTTTAATATCTAGTATATTTTTTTTGATATCCGATGCCGAAGTCATTGCTATGTAATGTCTTTATGTCATTTTATTTTTTTTTTTTTTTTCACTATAACAATTATATAAATGTTTTATTTTCACTTACACAACTGTCACGACCGCAGCGATATGTTATGTTCGGTATAAAATTTAACACGTTTGTTTAAGTTTTAATATAATGTCTTTATTGAATATGAGTTACAAAGAAGAATGAGATGGCAGGCAGTGTACACGTTATAAAGGCTCGTGCTGTTCTGTCGAGAGTCAACCTGCATCACTCACGTGTCTCAGCGCCTCTCCGCCATCTGTCGTCGATGCCCTTTAACAGGCATAGCTTCATATGATTTCCGACTGATTGTAACAAGAACCGATGAGCCAATCATAATAAGAGTGGTGTCATTTTGTTCAGAAGCTGTCTTGTAACAAACGCAAGCACTTTCAGATGTTTTAATTAAGGGGAATCATATACCAATTCACTCATATTTGGCATTTTTGTAATATATATATATATGACAGTTTAATGTCAATCTACATTTTATGTAGATCAGATCAAAGTTTTTGAGGTAGGAATCCCTGGTAGGGATTAAGATCTTCAGAAAAATATCCTTTATGGGCTGAGTTTTGTCAAATTTTAATTAGAGTTATAAAAAAAGTTTTTACGCCAACAGATGTAAAAAAAAACAAAAAATAAAAAAATTTATCTATGTTTTTGAGCACATATTGAATAATAAAACTGATATACATGTTTAAATCAAAATTCCAGAAAACTCAGCCCATAAAGGATACTTTTCTGAAAATTTTGATCCTTATCAGAAGTCCCTACCTCGAAAACTCTGATATGAACCTTGCACACGTTGCCGAAAAGCTAAAATAGCAAAAATAAGCTATTTTTAGATGCAAAGGCCTATTCTGCAACTTTTTTCACCTTTTTCAGGGCTCGAAGATGTCAATTTTATTTTGAAAATGTAGATTAACATTAAACTGTGATTTATATCACAAAAATGCCGATGAAGGGTGAATTCGTGTATGAATTCCTTAAATTATACACAATTCGACAGCCATATATTCATTTTTATTTATTAATATAATATGATAAAATGACAGATTATGCTAAGAAAGAAAAAAGTACAAATTTGGTTCAATACCTATGAAAGTGCTTGCGTTTGTAGCCATTCTTATATAGAACATCCTCTGAAAATGTCGGCTCATCTGCTCAAAGGGTTCACATGGAAAGCTACGACACCGAACAATTTTGAGATGTAATGTAACTGCCCAAGAGTTGGAAAAACAAAAATACCCCAATATATGTAATTGATTGAGAATCTGTTATTACAATTAACAATTAAAAGGATAGTTGCATGGGTAGGTCTCACAATGACTGCTTGAATGCGAAAGATTTTGGTTTTCACAATTTTCTTCATTTTCACA